CTGAAACTGACGACAACGTGATGCATGAACCGCCCCGAACGGGGCTTAGTAGCTGCTACAACAACAACAACATAAGTGTTTTTCAATAAAATTCTGAAATAGGGCGTTTTTCAATCGAATTCTGAAGTAGGGCGTTCTTGAAGTTTTCTGAGATAGGGCGTTTTTGAACTGGCTGCCGAGATTGGTCGATCTTCCACTCAGCCATCGATATACTTTATATTTTGTAATGCCTCACAAAGTATTTTTTGGTATAGTTTCCAAAGATCTGGAATTACATACTTCGCAGTTCTCGCTCAACAATTGTGTGTTTACAGATTCTTTGCGAATAGAAACTTATTTAAAGAACTCTTTTATAAGTATTAATTGTTAAATATTTAGTAAAAAAAAGATGTGCATTCATTCGTTTATGAAGAAAAGATGATATATTAATGAAAAGCAAAGTGAATAGTGCAGTGTTTATAAAAAATATGTGAAGTAATGCGGAACGGCCGCTGTGGTGTAGTGGTAAGCAGTGCGCGCTTTCACTCATCAGCACCTGGGTTCAAGCCCTGGTCAAAGCAACATCGCTAAAAAATATAGAAAAAAGGTTTTTTCTTAACAGCGGTCGCCCCTCGGCAGGCAATGGCAAACCTCCGAGTGTNTGAGGAGAAACTCGGCCAAACATTAACATATGTGTAAGCGCCAATCTATAATGGGGAAATTTTAACAATAAATAACTTTAAAACTGTTGCCATTTCTACCCAAAATGTTGAAGGTATCGCTCAATGAGCACTTCCTCAACACCCCCTGCGAATTTCATTAAAAAATTCGCTATACTTTGCCCGATATAGGAAATGGTCTATTATTGGAAATCTCAGCAGTTGAATCATATTAATTCCTTATTAATAGAATAGTTAACTCACCATGAATTTTGGTCATTTTATTTTGGTCCGCCTGGTCCACAAATTTTTCGCTAATGAGCTTCTTGGTTTGTGGCACGAATGTATCGAAGTCTTCGCAACGCTGTCGCTTGAGCATGTTTATAACGGGAGTTTAAAGCGCAGCTTCACCATAAACTTGTTTAATCGCCGGCAAAAGTTTTGTTAAGATATATTTTTTTTTGGGTTTTGGGTTGGTTGGCAGGAACTTAAATTCCCCAAACGCCAGGCTGTCCCTCCTTGTCCGTATTTATTCCTCTTGGTGCTACAGGATCATGTAGCTAGTGTATTTTTAATATCGACAAGTTGAGTGTAACTAAAAATGTCAAAATACATGATTCAACAACTACAGGCAAGGCGCATCAATTACAGGTGATAGCGATAGAAGCTATGCTTCTTCTTATGAGCACGCTTGTGTCAAATTATCGTCTGTTTTGCTTTATTTACATATCCGCCTACACATACACATATACGTATATATATACCCCATGAACCAACGACTACAGATCACCTAATCAGCCATCGTTGTATTTGTAATCGATTTTCAGAAAAAAGTTTTCGTAGCGTTTTTGACGTTTTTCGGTTTTGTTTACACCGTCTTCTACCTCTTCGTAGTGATTTTTTAGCGATTGAATGTGTTTTCTGCAGCGATTTTAATTATAAATTTTGGTTTATTACATATTTATGATATAAAATAAAGTGCTGTGTGATCGGAACAAGTTTGTGCG